CGCTGCCCGCAGGGAGACTCCGGGGGCCCGCTGGTGTGCCAGAAGGACGGCGCCTGGACCCTGGTGGGCATCGTCTCCTGGGGCAGCAGCACCTGCGACCCCAACGTGCCCGGTGTCTACGCCCGCGTCACCATGCTCCGCGACTGGATCAACTCCATCCTGGCGGCCAACTGAGGCCGGCAATAAAGCGCTGCCCACCCCCACCGCGCTGCCTCCTCACTGCGGCACCGGGACGGGCGGGAGGGGGGCGCGGGGCAGCCGGACGGTGGGGGGACACACGGCCGGGCACGCGGTGGTCGCGGGGACGCTTCTCCGGGCATGGGGACACGTGGCTGTCACGGCTGGAGGCATGGGGACACCTGGCTGGTGGGGACATGTGGCCGGGCATGAGGACGTGAGGCTGGGGGGCATGGGGACAGCTGGCTGGGAAGGCTGGAGGCACGGGGACACATGGCCTCCCATGAGGGCAGGGACCCCAGCCAGGTGCGGGGACACATGGCTGAGCGCAGGGAACCAGAGCAGGCAGGGGACACCTGGCTGGGCGTGGGGACCCGTGGCCAAGGAGGGCAGGAGGTCTGGGGCCATGCGGCCTCCCCTGGGGACACTTGAGCCAGGCAGGGGCACGTGTCCAGGTGCAGGGCCACCTGAGCAGGCTCGGGGCCACCCGGCTGTGCACCAGGTGTGGGGACACGAGGCCAGGTGTGGGAGCATGTGGGCTCCCATGGGGACACCTGGTCGGGCACAGGGGCACGTGGCCTGGCGTGGGGACACCTGGGTGGGCGTGTGGGGCCATGGCCAGGTGTGGAGACACCACTCAGGTGTGGGGACACCCAGGTGGACCCGAGGCGGGGGGGGGAGTAAGGGCAGGTATGGTGACAGCGGGTGAGCTGTGGGGACAGCGGTCTGGGCGTGGGGACCCCCGGCAGGGGGGTTGGGGACACAGGGCCCCCGGCTGGGAGGGGACGCTTGTCCCGGCCCTGTCAGCCGGAGCCACCTTAAGGTGCCGGTGCCGCCGGCCGGAGGGGAGGGGAAGGGCCATGGGGCGGGGAGGGCGGGGAGGGCAGCGTCCTGGCCCTGGCTGTGGCCGTCCCCACCATGGCCGTCCCCACCATGGCCGGCCCCCCCATGGCTCTGCGGCGGGGGGCGGGGGGG